GTAGCTCTATATATATATATATATATATATATATATAAGAAATCTGTATTTAGCAGAGATTTAAATATTGATTTCCTATGCACTAGGCCCCATGATGAGAGCGCCCGCCATGTGCCTAAATAATCGAGAACCCAGCACCACTGGGGATCGAACTCATGACCTGAGCGGATTTATAGTGAATCCCGCTAACCAACAGATCATGACTTGTGGCGCAAGCGTTGATCGCCCACCCACACCCACACCCACACCCCCACCCTTGTAATATATATATAAGAAATGTGTATGTAACAGAGATCCAAATATTGATTTTCCATGCGCTAGGCCCCATGATGAGAGCGCGCGTCATATGCCTAAATAATAGAGAACTCAGCGCCACTGGGGATCGAACCCATGACCTGAGCGGATTGACAGTGAATCCCGCTAACCAACAGATCATGTCTTGCGGCGCGCCCCCCCCAGTGTGTGTATGTATATTCAATCTTTCACATTACATATAAAATATTACTATCTTTAATTTTTTTAAGTGATATATATTTTCATATAGATGTGATTATAATAATAAAATGAATGTTATAAATATAAATGTGTACTTCAGGATTTAAGAAATATAAATATATAAGAATTATGTGGTATGCATGTAAATTGCTTAGATCCAATTATAAAAAGCCAATCTACTCTTCATTTCAATTAAAATTTCACTAATTCTAGTCTGAGCTTCGAAAATACAAATACTACAATACTAGAACATTGGTTCCACAAAAATGGCGCTTTGTATTAACATTAGCATCTTTTTCCTCCGAAGGAAAAACATATGCTATCATGGTGTTTAGACGGATATGTTTCAACTAGCATTCACGCACTATAATCTAGTAAAATTAGCATTAGAACTTCATCAAATTATCTTTCTTATAGAGAATAATGCCTTTTGATTAATAAAATCTATTCTAATTCTCGATTAGGATATCTAAATAGGAGAAACTTTCATTCACATCCAATAAAGGAGACAATTTATTTTTTTTATTTGGGTTCCATTAATATTGTATATACTGTGAACATATACTATAGGATAATTTTCATCATTATTTATAGCATTACATGACAGAAGTCAAAGTGGTCCACACATTACCAACATACTTAATTTTGAAAAGAAAATGAAAAAAAAAGAACATTCCATGGCAGCCAAGATAACACAAACTTCATCAAGGTGAATGCAAAATAATTGGTCATGTCAAGAACATTATCAGAGAAAAATACAGTTTTCGTCCCTTTGACAACTACCTAGCATTAGTTGAGGTTTTTGTCCATAGAAAAAATTGGAGACTTAGTTTGTACATTCAAATATATCAAAAGTCTTACTCAAGAAAAAATAGTCGATTCAAAACAACTTATGAAACTAGAAGGATAAAGATTGTGGACTAGTTGCAATCACACTAAACTTCTTGGGATAATAGTGAACACATGGACATAGCACTCTCTAGAAGCATACTTACCTTCTATTCTATATGCCTTGTGAGCTGTTAAGAAAGTTTATGGTGTTGTCCAAAGAGAAATATTGATTTAAAATCCTCATATTTTTTCTCTTTTGGTTCTTTTTAGATCTCGGAGTCGCCAGCTTACCTTTTTGTATGTCATCGTATAATTTTCCTATTCGAGTAAATCTCTCTCTTGAACCAAATGGATGATTCGAAGAGGAGAGGAATCGAATAGTGAACTAACGTACTACAACAAATAGGCTAACAAATCAAAAAAAAGAAAAAGAGACGGAGGTTTATATAGGGATAATTCTCGTGTGATGGATCGGGAGTATACATCCAAACAAAATCGGATTGAAGTACCTCGGAAAAAGAAAATAACATCCACGAGTAAAATCTCTATATGAACTACCCGTAACCAGAGAACCAAAAAGAACATTTTTTGTTCTGGGGTCAAAAGTCTCCCAGAGGAACGTATTCCTACTGGTTAATTACATCTCGGGGGATACCCAAGAAGACTCTCGATGTAAGGAGTTTCGCTTTATCATTATGAACATGGGGTATAGGTTATCAAAAAGTGATTATTTCGTATGGAATAGTCTCGATGCTTTGAAGCTCACGCTGCACCATCGGGCGGAAAGTGAATCTCTCACGCCAAATG